TTGTGTTTCCGGTGCATTATAGCCTGGAGTTCCAATTTCATCGCCCTCTGTTTGAATGTGGTAACTTCCTTGATCATTATTATTATTAAAAAAGATTGCTGAATCAAAATCTAGAAATCGAAGTTTCCCTTCTAGGAAAGCAATATGTAAGGGTTTCAAGTCCAAATGTGCAATTTTCTTTTCATGCAAATATTGTATTCCCTAAGCAGTTCAATGTAGTAAGACATTTCAACTTCTTTTCATAAATGGCATGCTATGAATAGAGGGATACTCACTGACAATGCCTCAACAATAATATCATCAATCTTAATATTAACATGATTGCACTTGAAAGGATAACAGTAATGCATAATCAAAACAAAAATACTGCCAACAACAAGCACTTCAACAAGCTCAATGCATTTGTTGTCTTGGATATTACGCAAATCAGGCTGATTCAAATACTTCAAAATTTCAATCTCCTGGTCACAAGAACACTTTAACTTTGCAACTATGTGTATATCATCTTTACAGCCATATAGAATATGGCTTGGTTCCTGTTTAGAGAGTTTCTTTCAGAACATGAAAACACTGTGACTAAAAATATAAATTATAATAAAAAAAAGAAGCAAAATACCTATACCAGGCTTTTAAATCCTGTTTCTGGGGAAAGGTCTTGATCAATCATATACCCAAATTTCTCAAGTTGGGTGGACACATATTGTCGTTCAACATCACTGAATTCCTTGCTGTCCTCACTATCTCCTTGCATTTCACAATCTTGTTGGTCAGATAACTTCTGCTTTTTGACTTTGTTTCTGGATGGTGCCTTGGAAAGACTTGGCAAATTTGCTGTATTTTGGTCCAGCTTACATTTGGCAGGCTGTTTGTCAGTTATTTGTTTTGGTAGATGATTCACAACTTTTTCTACATATTCTTCTTCCAAGAGTTTTATCATGTTATGAACTGTGGCTTTTGCTTGAACAACACCCAAAGTCTCATCAAGTCTAGTCTGTAATCAATAACTTTACAAAATTGAACAATGTTTTCCTGCAAGAAAAATACAATACTGCTCATTATTATTGTTATTATTGTCACCGGTTTTCTTCGCGAGGCGGCTGCGTCCCCTCACCGTGACAATAGGGCTCTGTAATGTCGATGCTTAGT